TTTTAAACGATGTCGAAGTTTCCATGCGTCAACAATTAAGTGTTGAGATTTATTTTAGAAACAAAGGAAGAGATTGTTGATTTTGCGAGGATATTCGATTGTCTCTTGTTTACCTGACCCGAGGNTTCTGTTAAACACAGAAACACTTAAACTTTTTAAACGATGTCGAAGTTTCCATGCGTCAACAATTAAGTGTTGAGATTTATTTTAGAAACAAAGGAAGAGATTGTTGATTTTGCGAGGATATTCGATTGTCTCTTGTTTACCTGACCCCAGGGAGATGGAAATACCAGGTGGAGAAAAATGGGTTTTTTTCCACATTATAATTAACTGTATAATTAACTCCAGGATATCACACTATTTTTACATTTACATTTTTTTACATTTAGTGGAGCACTCCCTCTGACCTGTAGCATTAAATGCTACTGGCTTGAGGTACTCCTCTTTAAATTAACCTGCTTCGCATATGCTTTGCAGGTAGTTAAGTTTTACATAGTCGCGGTCATAGCCGCAATACATTAATACCCAACAATTCTATTTTTTACATTAATTATATTTTTGTTGAGTAGAGTATTTGTTGTCATTAGTTTGACAATAAACTATGACAGAAATTTTTATGTTCTGTTTTTATAACAAGTTTTTATAAATTCATTGAAATAATAATATATGTTAACATTATTTATAAGGCTACTTTTCCTAATAGGCCAATCGTAACCTTCTTTGTTACAAACTAATTTTAACTCGTTTCTTACTTTTTCATATTGCATACAGTCAAATAGGATGTGTGTGGGTGTTTCACTTACCCCACAAATCTCGCAGTTTTCATCATCTCGATGATTAAATCTATAATGATATTTCGCAAAATCTCCATGACCTGTCACGAATCTTGTGAATTTGTGTCCAATTTGTAGATGTTTGTTATTTAACCTCTGGTTAATATCTGGTATGTATTCAAAGAGTTCCCTTCCTTTTGTAGTTATTTCCCACCGTTGTTGCCACTGTAATATGTATCTATTTTTGATTTCAGTTTTTATATATTTTGTAGATATTTTTCTGTATGATTCCTTTGTTTTTAGATAACTAGCCTCTTTAGCCAGACTGTCCGCTCTTTCATTTCCTTGGTCTCCAAAATGGGCTTTGACCCAGCTGAACACTAGCATATTATCACTTTTCACAATATTTCGTCTTATATTATCTATTAGTTCACTTTTATTGTTACCATCATTAAGAGCTTTTAATACAGCCTGGCTGTCTGTGCAAATAGTAATTTTTATATTTTTCTTCCTTTGACTTATCCAGTTAATTGCATGATCTATTGCTACCAATTCTGCTTGATAATTTGTGCATCTTTTATCTAACTTGATTTTTTTATGATACTGTTCCCTATTTCTATAGTAATAAACATACGACGCTCCCACTCCTTCTGAGGATCTTGATCCGTCCGTATAGATTCTGTATTTATCCCGATAGTTGTATTTCTTTATATGTATTTTCTCCCATTCATATCTTAATAATTTTTGGTGTTGTTTCATATCTGCTTCTAGCTCGTCCTCTTTTTTCAATAAATCATTATGAGTTTTGTTTTCTTTTAATATATTTCTTGTGTCACTATGCTGTCGAATTTCCAAATCCAGAGGCATTAGGCCCGCCAGTACACAGAGTGCATCGTGGGATGTAGTACAGTATGCTCCAGTAATTCTTAATAGCATTTTTCTTTGTAGGCTATTTATTTTCTGTTTCATGTGTGTCAACTCCATCCTCTTCCCCCAAATTTGGGCAGCATATGTAACAATTGGGATTACAGCACCTTTATAAATATGTGTTAAAGCCCTTCCACCTATACTCCATTCTTTACGTGCTACTTTCGCTATTTCTTGAAATAAGTTACCCACTTTTTTCTTAACTGTTTCTAGGTGTTCATTCCAGAAAAGTTTGTTGTCTATTGTTACTCCTAAATAGTTGACTTGGTTTACACATTTAATCAATTTATTTTGCATTTTAATTGTGGGTTGCCTTTTTGCCACTTTGCATGTCTCACACTATTAATGCAATAAATTATTAACACTAATCGGCCGATTAATCGGTATCGGCCGATAATGCATGGCCGATTAATCGGTAATCGGTCATTTTGCTTATCGGTGCATCCTTAATAATAATTCAAAAAATTTTTTGAACAGCAATATGAATGATGTAATATCCCCAAATATGTGTAGAGAGCAATAATGATGTTTAGAGATGTAGATTAGATTGCTTGAATAAAGTTGCCCATATTTGTGGGATTTCAAGAGTTTTTGTGTTGCACAGTGTTAAAGCCGATATGTAGAGGTTCTCCGAAATAATAATTCTTTCCAATTGTTGCACCATTTGAGTAGCTTTGTTTGGGTCCAGAGCAGCTGATAATGTTGATCAAGCACTTTTTTTGCCAATTCCATTGATGATCTACTGTTTCTGATATCCTCCTGATGTTCTAGGATGTGAGAAATTAACATTCTCTNGATTTCAAGAGTTTTTGTGTTGCACAGTGTTAAAGCCGATATGTAGAGGTTCTCCGAAATAATAATTCTTTCCAATTGTTGCACCATTTGAGTAGCTTTGTTTGGGTCCAGAGCAGCTGATAATGTTGATCAAGCACTTTTTTTGCCAATTCCGTTGATGATCTACTGTTTCTGATATCCTCCTGATGTTCTAGGATGTGAGAAATTAACATTCTCTGGTAGTGCTTCCTGCGGAGCCAGGTATGTAACACAATTTGTGTACCTCATAATAAATAAATAATAAATTAACATTCTGGCCGTGGTCCCTATGTAGCTGGTCTCTTCTACTGGCAGATCATGTTTTAGTGGAATTTGATAGACCCAGATTTTTCATTCAATTTAAAAATATCTCTTTGTTGCATAATAGTCTTCTTAGCGTTGGTTGTGTGGTTAATGGTAAAATAAAACCATTCATTCTAAAAAAGATGTACTATTTTTAGAGACGAGGCCTAAAAACGGTATCAGAGGATGTGCTATTTTTAGATCCTCTTTGTTATAAAGAAAAGACTGAATTATCATTCTATTTCAAATTCATATTGGTATTCTATCCACGTGCTTCATATATTTTCATAAGTTGTTCGAAAGCTCAGAATTTGAAAACCGTTGTATTCAATATTCACCTGACGATGCTAGATTTATGCTATTGAAAGTGCTTGTGAACTCATTTATACTTCAAATTCACCGTTGGTAATGCCACAACAAGTAAGTGCAATTACGTTATAAAGTGTAGACGTGAAGTGTACATTACTTTTATTATGGAAACTAATGGAAAATACTTCTTTTTTTATTGAATACAAGAGTTGCATGGTTAAAGCTAAAAGCACAACTGTGGTTCTTACTAAAGTGTTGCAAGAAGAGTCTCATACCCAAATGCATTGCTCTCAAGTACGACTCGTTTCCTACAGAGATTTGAACCCTTTTACCAAGAATTGAACGAAGTCTTCTAGCTAAATAAATTAACAACAAATGTAAAGCCATAGTGGAAAAAGAAAAACAGTTGTACCTGACCCACTTATGCTTCAATAAACAGTGTGATGCAGTAGTTCTACACCAGCAATTGAGTAAAATAAGAGACATTCCTTAAATTATGGACATGAATGTAAAAAGTGAGGGAGCTATGAGCTATTATTGCATTGTTTATTGAAAAGAGTGAGGAGATATTGTCAGGAAGGGAGGAGAGTTCTTGTTCCTGCACATGTTGTAACAGATCCATTCCGTTACCAACATGTGCTTAAACAACAGGGATAAGAACGCCCTTTCCTCTCCCTCAATTATTTACTTTATTGTAGACTATCCCTTCATCCTTCCAACATCAGCAGATGTCTTTCAACTGTTCATACCTTAAGATGGCTTTTTTAATAGATTTGAAAATATTAGTGTGCTTTTTTAAAAATCCCACTGTTAAGTAATTCAGTTCATATTTATACTTTGTGTTAGAGAGACAGGCTTAAATATTGTTTAATTATTGCAATTATTACATAATTTTAAAATGTTGTAAATGTATTATATTAGAAAATGGGTTTTATATAGGGTGAGTCAAAAGTCACTTTCATTCTTTTCATTCTAAAAGTACTAAAGATACATTAATTTTTAATGCAGTTACATAAGAGGTTAATGAATGGAGACTCAGATGTTCTATCTTTTTTAGACTTCTAAATTTTTTTTACTGCTTAAGGAACTATTAACTAAGCCTAAATAGTATCTAATTTTAAATATATTTAGACTTTTATCCATCTTCAGAGCTTCTTGAATTTTAAAATTTTGCATTAGATTCATAAAAATCTTTACTGTATTACAGATTTTTTCATGACTTTGTAAAGAATTGAGATGTTACTTAAATTTTATTTATTTATTTTTTATCAGAATTCTATTTTAGTTAAAAACAAAAGAATCATGAATGAAACTTGAAAGATAAAGTTGAAATAGAAAAAAGCTAAGATTATCTTGCCTTTTTTTCAGTGGCAAAAAGTTTTCTTTAGCTCTTGCATTAGAAAAATTTAATTAATAAATAAATGATAGGAAAGAATTTTTAGATTCTTGACTTTGGACATTAATAGACATTAATAAAATATTAGTACTTAAAAAAGTTTTTAAAAATTATTATGTAGTTATTTGAATAATCTATTCTGTAATCAAATGAATAATCATTATTTTTTGAACTAGAACATAAAACATTAATCCTAAAATTATAAAACTAACTTCTGTAAAGTAAGTAAATGTAAAAATTAAAGTAAATTGCTCTTTGACATAAGTTAAAATACTGAATCATTTATTATGATGATGATTATAATTATATAAAAATGTTTGAAGATAAACTTATTTCTATGTTAAATATAATGAATTTAATGTTATTTTTTTACTGATTTATAATTTTGGTTATTGTTAATAAAACCATAATTTTAACATTATTTTAAATTATAAAAAAATTTTAATTAATTAATGATCTTGGACATATGTAATACTTACTTTATTTAGTTCCATAAGATAATCAAAATTCGATATTTCACCTTTAGTCCAAGCATTCACTAAAAAATGTAACTGTTCTTTATTTTCTTTAATAGAAATTTCTTTTTCACAGTTTTTTGAATTTTTTTTACTCTCAGTCTGTGAGGAATATTCAAAATTTACAAAATTACTTTGTGTCTTAGCTTCACTTAAAATATCATTCCACAGTTTTGGTACTACTTCTATCCATAATTTTTGACTAACTTTTATATCATCTAAAGTTATTATACCCAAATATAGACCTTTATTGTGAACCTCTTGTAGAACATACAGTAACTGATAAATTAAAAACAGACATCGAGTTGTAGATGATTCAAGAATGGCAGGACTAAAAGTAACACAATCATGCAAAGTATATTCTTGATGAGGTTGGATTAAATAATAGTAATTTGGTGCTTCAATTGCACAAAACATTGGTAATAAATTGTCAATTCTTGAACCTATAAAATTAAAAAAAAAAGTGTAATAATCTCACTTAAGTTCAATGAATATTAATGATTTTAAAACCTAAATCAATATTCTAGTATCGTTTCATTATCTTAAAATGATGAGGAGATAGATATATTATAGACGTTTCTAAGAGCCTAACTTACATCACGCGGCACGAAACGTCACAAAGAAGACGTCTACGCTGACCCTAATAGGGTATATACAAGTACTTCGCACACCCTTTACCCCATCTCGGTCTCTGAATGAACGATTGTTGCTGCAACTAGATGATTACTACTCGACCACCCAAGATGAATACGAGGGAGGAAAAGAGGTGGATTTACTGTCCCTTCGTATGGATGGATGAATGCCCGGATGTTGTGTACTGTTACACACCACTTTAGAGTTTATATACCCAGGGGTCTTTCTCACTTCAAGCTGTCAACATAGTCAGTGATGGTGTATAAAATCCTTCTTCTTCAAAGATGTTCAAAAGGCTGATTGAGTTGTAATTTATAACTTTTTAAAAAGTTTATTTTCACTTTTAAATCTGTCCTGTGTCCCGTTGCCCTGTATTTTTTTTATTTTATTATTATTTTTTTTTTATTTTTTATGTNTAAATTCTAAGTAATTTGGTACTAGAGGTAGGCATTAGGTGCCATCTCTTATTAAATTTAATCATTATAATTAAATTAATATTCATTAAATAATTTAGAAAATTCTGGAAAAAAAAATTGGTCAGGAGCAGGACTCAAATCCACAACTCCTGCTTACTATGAGGATACTTTGCCAGTTACACTACATGAACCTCTGTCTGACCCTTTGCTTCCAGACTTATTTAATTTTAGATATAACCAGCCATGGTTTTTCACCAGTTGGTGCTGTGAGTAACCACAGATGGTTATATCTAAGTTGGCCTACCTCTAGTACCAAATTACTTAGAATTTAATTAATAATAATAGTGGTAAAGTGGCACAATTCATTATGGCAATTGTTTGTCTTAAATTAATAACATAAGGCTTTAAGATGTTTATGTATGTATAAATTAACTAATTTGTCAATTTTTTAATATTCCACATTCAGAAAACCTACTTCATTATATAATATACTTTTGGTTTAATGGACATCCCTTGCATGCATTAGTCTGTCAAATCAACATTGTCATTGTTTTATCAGAGGTCTATATATCTTAACATCTTGTTGAAACAATATCATGTTTTTTTTATCTATTCATTGATACTATACATACTGAAATATAATCATACATTTCAAGTTTTAAATGTTGATAAATCTATCAAGATGATAATTTGTACTTTTTTGAATGTAATAATCATATAAATTTAAAAGCTTGATCCTTACTTTAAATGAGTTGATGTAACATCAATATTAAAATTATAAAAGTTAAACATTTATTAAATTTGTTTAAAATTCTAGAATTTTTTAAATCAGAGTTTATTGTAAAAGTGAAAAGTTGAAGTATTCTCTTGTAAAAAAGTAATTAAAGTATTTTTGAATTCAAATGGTATCTAAGTTTTTTTTACTTTTAAAAAGATGACTATTGTTTAAATACTGAAACAATTTTAATAAAGAATGTCTTCTACTTCTCATTTCTATAATATATTCCAGGATGAAATCCAGATACTGTGAATATATTTAATTTTAATAAAATCTTCAGTTTTCAAAATTTGATCTTTATTCTACTACCAATCTAATAATTACTTAGTGTATGAAACTAAGAGAATTATATTTCTTGTTTACTCCAATTCAACTCAACAAAAAGAAATTAAATTTGAATCAGAGATAAATTCTGTATAAAAACCGGTTAATTATCATTATACTTTGATATGATTTTATCATTTTACATTTTTATCTCTAATTTCATTGATATATTTAGGCAAATGCTATTACAGTTAACTAATAATAATAATAATTTTATAATAATTAAAGAAATAAACTGATATATAAATCTAACATAATAAAAATTATTTGAATGAGTCAGTTTCCTGGCATGAAGTAGTTAGCATAATTAAAACTTCTGAGAAAAAAATTATATCATCACAAACTTTACATTTTATCAATAAATATATGTTTCCAAGTTTTTTTTATTCAATATAATATAAATTATGTATTAGAGGATTATTTTAATTATATGATTATTTAAAAATTAATACTTTCACATTTTGCACCAAAAAAAAAACTGCTATTNTTGAAGATAATATAAATCTTATAATCATCTATTTTCAAATTGTATTCCAAATTAATATTTGGAATACAATTTGAAAATAAATTTGATAGTATAGGTAAGTGATTCGTCACTTACCTACAGAGTCCACTAAACCATTCTTATGATCTGTACAATTTATTCCTTTAGTAACCATATAATTTTGTCATTTGAAAAGCTAATATCTCACAGTTTCAATCAGTCAATAACTAACAAGGATAATCTGTGCATATACTGTAGAAATCCATATATTTATGGATTATCAAAGCAACTTACAAGATATAATGTAATTTGTTCCAATTATAAATTTCAATTATATATGGACATTTAGTAGCCTTTTTTTATTGATTTTATCATTGATAAATCTGGAATTGTTAGAAAGTCTTACACATTACATTCATGACAGACTTCATGTTATATATGAAGTCTAAAATGTTTGAAAACTTTTTAAATTACACACCAATCTATAATTGAATCTGAATGCAGCTTGCACAGCTCTCTATCAGCAAGTTTTTTATACTATCTGCTGAAAGCAGTTTGTTCTATCTTCATTTGTTGTTACCTTACCTTCATTTGTGTAAACATGTGTTGATTGCATTTTGTGATTTTTTTCTGTGTGCAACTGAGTGAAGAGTTCTGAGACATTATGTCTGATAAATTTCATGAAAAACATCATCACTAGGAATGAGACACAGGTCTATGGATACGAAGTGGAAACAAAATGCCAGTCATCACAGTGGGTGGGAAAATTTTTACCATGACCCAAAAAGGAAGAACAAGTTTGGTTGAATGTGGAGATCTTGATATCTTATTGATAAATCTATCAGGATGATAATTTGTACTTTTTTGAATTTAATAATCATACAAATTTAAAAGTTTGATCCTTACTTTAAATGAGTTCACTGTTTTGTTTAATTCTTATGGTGTCTTTTCTTTTTTTTTTTTTTTATTTTCTTATGGTGTCATTCAATAGGAATTTCTTCTAGAAGGGAAGATAGTAAATAACGAATACCATCTGGAGGTGAGGAAATATCTTCATGAAGCAGTCAGGAAGAAAAGTTCAACTGATTGGAGAGAACAGCATCATGACAATGTTCCCATCCACACAACTCAGCAGAAAACAGTTTTTAGCTAAGAACATCACTTGTTTTCCAAATTCACCGGACTAAACCCAACAGGCTTCTTTTTGTTCCCCAAACTAAAATCCACTCTCAAATGTTGCTATTTTATTGATGCTATTAAGAAAAATTTGTTAGCAGAGTTGCACTTCATCCCAAAAGAAGTGTTTCAGGAAGTGTTCTTTTTATGGCAGAAATTCTGAATTCAGTACATAGACTCAGGAGGAGACTGTTTCAAAGGTAACAAAACTGATCAGCTTCTAGGTAAATGCAAACAATTTCTATTTGCAAAGTTTGTGAACTTTCCAGACAGACCTTGTACATCCATTATCCATACTAAAAACTCAAAATTTGAAGGTAATTTTGAGTTTTTAGCCAGAAACATATTGTTCTAATTTGATCTGTTCTGTAATAGCACTGATTGAGAAATGAAAGTTCTTTGAATTTTGTTTTTTCATTAGACAAAATTACTATCAAATTAACTTATTTGTAGTCAGAAGATAGAATCACAAGACTTTCTGCTTTTGTCATAGTTACTTTTGATTTAAATTGCTAAATTTTGAGACCATGATCATTAAAAATAATGTAAATTGGTAATATTTTAAAGTTATTTTGTTTAATGTTTATTATAAGATAAACATTAAATTTTGAACATAATAATTTCAGAGCTTTCTTATCTTATTTCCATTCTTAAGGTAACTGTTTAAAGCTTACAAAACTTTAATACTTCTTTTTTTTTAATACTGGAAGTGAATATTCTGTTTTATATCAGCATTTGTTTTGATTTTTTGGAAACCTAAAGTTTATATTTTAATTTTACTTGAGTTTGGAATGGATTCTGAGATTGCTAGTCAACATACTGGTAGAAATCCTTCATTGACATTTTATTAGAAATATGTCCAGACCTCTAATAAAACATTTATTACTTTCTGGCCCTCATCTGTTTTAAAGTTGAACGCTATTGATATAGGTTAAAACAGTCTTTGTTCTGCAAATTTGACAAAAAATATAAATGACTATTTACAAAAACAAAATTAATAAAAACTTTAAGCAAAAATAACAGTAAAAGAAAAGAAAACATGGAAATGAATCTTTATCATCATAAGCTAATTATAAATTCCCTCTCATATATCAGAACAAACAAAACTTTTAAAAAAGTTAAGCAAAATCATAACTGTAATTCTACTCTGCTTGTTCAACTTATAGCTAATATTATTATAAATAAAAACAATGCACTTAAACACGATTTTTAAAATGAAATAATAGCAATTAATTGTAATACCTTGAGATGACGCAAATGAATTTTCAGAAATTTTAATTACTGGACATTGATATAACCTTTTAATTATTTCTTCTATCACTTCATTGTAATCCTATTTTAAAAAAATCAAGATTTATTTAAATATTTAAAATATATTTTATATTAAAGAATTACTGAACAATTAATTACTTGTAATTCTTTATTTCTATTTTTTACATTGTGTTCAGAAAAAAAATATTTTTTCCAAGCATCTTTCCATAAATTACGATAATTTGTTTCTGAAACATAATGCATCAACTGAAAATAACTTAAATCATTAGCTTGAAATTGATTTTGCATTCTTGGTAATCTAAATAAATAAAAAAATGTCAATGAGTAAAATTTTAATTTGCTAGATTTAAATAATAAAATAAGAAAAATTTTAAAATTAACTTTAATTTTTTAAATCCCCAGTTCTAAAATTATACAATAGCATATTTTTTGTTATATAAGAATTACACATATTTTACAATAATTTAAATATATTAAACAATTATAACCTGTGTATTTATATAATGGATAGTTATTATTAATAATATAATAAATTATAAATAAATATATAAATATTTATAATAGATTAAGATGTACAAAGATATAACATTTACAAAAGAGGAAAAAATGTGCAAATTCACTAATCAAAATCTTCAGACAGCACTTTTAAATTATTAAAAACTAAAAAAGTCTTATCAACTACTTTAACAAGTCCAGCAATTGCAAGTAAAATAAGGTATCTTTAATGAATACTTTCTATTGAAATTAATTTTTATAAGATCAATGATATATTATTTTATAATTAATTTAATGATTCTATATAATATTTTCATTCTTTTAATTTTTTTTAACAAATTCTGTGATTTTGAAGTTTACAAATATAAATCCCAAAAGGTCAACATTATAAAATTCTTACATATATTTTAGTCTCTTAGAAAAAAAAAAATAATAGTTATTGCAGCAATAAAAGGCAAAAATGTACTTAAGTTTCTTAGTTATTATATTTTAAATCATTTTAATTCCAAGAATTCAATTAATTTTTCAATTCAAGAATTCAATTTTTAAAGAGTCAAATATACACCAATCCACACTGGGATATGAGATATATGTAACAACAGACATTGAACCAATTTCCGGTGCGTATAATAATGAACACTGCACAAACGTTTGCCAACTTCTTCAGAGTTCTTCTTTGGGTGCAACAGAACGATTACCTGATGGAATGTTATCAGAACAAACACCTATTTGTAAAAATTTTTAAACAATGTAATTCAAAAGACCTTCCAAACTATAAATATCACAGTTTTAATATTACAGTTTAAATATTTATAGTTTCAAAAGGTCATTCAAATTACATTGTTTAAAATTTTTATAAACAGGTGTTTGTTTCAATAATGTTCCATCAGGTAACCATTCTGTAGCACCTGAAGAACTCTGAAGAAGTTGGAAAACATTTGTGCAGTGTTCATTTTTTATATTATACACACTAGAAATTGGTTCAGTGTCTGCTGTTAAAGAATCAAAGAAGAAGTAAATTTTTTAAGTTTTTTCAGATAGTATTTTTTCTCTTATAACAAACAATATTTTCTATCTATATAAACTATAATAACTAAACAATTTAATGACAATAACTGAAAAATTTTCAAAGTTGTTAAAATTACATTTTCAGAAACACCAACTTTTGACAATATAAAATGTAAAATAAAATAATATTTTTCTAATATAATATTTATACTCATCAATTTGTTAAATATTAAGTTAAAATTATAAAATATCAATAATAAAATAAAAATTATAGAAATCCTAAAATAACAAGAAATTTACTAGTCAAAAATAATCAAAAATTAAATAAATAAAATAAAATTAAAATAACTAACCTAAATAAAAAAAAGAAAATTAATTTAAGCAGACGACACCGTAGTCGCTAGTACCACCGCCATCTTGCCATTAAAGAAAGCACCGCGAAAGGCAAGAAATTGTAAATATTATAATTTTCTAATTTTTCGTCTCCGGTTCAAAAGTAGGGTACCGTTGAACTCGTCTCGGTCCCCTCGGTTCAAATATATACTCTAAGTCCCGAAATTCCTTAGGTGGTAATCTATAGTACAGACAAGAACAGTAGTAAACATGGCGCCCCGCTAACCAAANGATTCATATAATTCTTTGAAAATAATATGTTAAAAATTTATTCCCTTTTATCAAAATTCTACTTTATACTATACATTTTTTTGTTATTGGAATTAGATTCTTTCAAAATTCCAAAAATATAAAAAATTTTTCATTTAAGAAATCACAACATGAATTGTGATTTCTTAAATGAAAGGCCATATTTATTCTTTTCTAAAAAGTTTTTTATTTATTTACTTAATCATTTGAGAGACGGAGAGAGAGAGAGAGAGAGAGAAATGCTTGTGTACATTGTTGTAGTAAATTGGAAAATAAACCTGTATTCTTTAAATAAAATGTTTAATTATATAATATTCTCATTTTGACTTGTAACATAGAATGAAAAATTCTAAAGTCAAAAAAGTGAGTGGTAAAGCTGTAAAGATTCTCTGAAAGACTTTGAGTGCTCAAGGCTATGCAGAGAATTTTCAGTTTCACCATCTATTTTTTGACAATATTCAACTATGTCAGGATTTTAACCAGACAAAAGATGTTACATACTGGTTTTGAGAGAATCTCTAACTATGTAATTTAAACTATGATATTATCTTTCACAAGACCCAAGACAGGATTTGCCCCTATGCAAAGGATAATGAGGGGTGCATGGCATCCAAACCAATGAATAATCCACTATCATTTATGTACAGTACATTCCAGTGCAATTGCATTTAGTTATTACATTGCAAACATAAGATATAGTCTGGTGCAATGTTTATGCCTACATCTTGCATATATCAGATTTCAGCAATAACATTAATAATAATATCTAAATATATAAAAATTTTTCTTAATAAATTACCTTCCCTCGATAAACTGATGGTGTAATACTTAAATGGTCTCTACATATAATCAAATAAATTATGAAATCTTAAATTAAGCATAGCAAACTTTTATATGAAAAATAATGCATGCATAGATTAAGTTTTTGCATAAATAGCTACTTAATTAAAAAATTTATTTCAATCACATATATGTTAGTTTATAAAAAAAATCAATAGGAATTCTTTAAGGTATTTTGGCTGGTTATATATTGTGATTAAAGAAACAGAATAGAAGCACAGTATAGATTACAGAAATTCCTTATTAATCACTGCATAATTAAATATAACAGGATAAAATAACCAGATGAAAATTTTAAACTGACAAAAAGTATTTTAGTAAAAACTTTTATAGTAGTAATTCAAGAAAACCTGCTATTTGTTTGTTTGTTTGTTTGTTTAATTTAAAATTTATACAATATAATTTATTTTGTAAAAGCTTGATTCCAATATTATTATTCCAAAAACTTAATCATAAAAAATCCAAAATAAAATTTATGAAATATGTTATTACTAATTATCACATTTAAATGAATAATTTAAATTTTAAATAATGCTATTTATAGAAATACTTAGACAATGGTTAGTAATATAACAAAATTATCAGTAAATTTATTTATATTTATTTTATTTTTTTTAAAATTATTCCTATATTATTTTTAAATCCATTGATTTATATAAATTTACTTTCACCTTTGGACTTTGCCTTGACATTTTGGAATTGCATTTATAACTACTACAAGCCATGAAGACATTTGAACAGAAGAAGACTGATTTAAAATTAATTCACATTCTGTGTAACTTAAAGAATCATAATCTGAAAAATTTAATGGAATCTTCTTCTCTGTTAACAACTGTGAGAGCCAACTTTGATGAACCTGTATATTACAAATAATAAATTATAATTAATTATTATTGAATATAAAATTTTGAAACCAAACATATATATTATATATGATAATTCTAACTATAATTATTATATTTAAATATAAGAGAAATATATTTAAAATAATTTATTTATAAAAATGTTTAGATTATTATTATATAACTAATAATGACAGAAAAAAAAAAATCATTTCAGATATTGCTGTAAATACATTAAACAATTAAAAATCTTTGTATTTATTGAAGTAATTTCATTATACTTCAGAAGTATGCTTTTTCTAAAGATCATTGAATGAAGAAAAATGTTTCCTTGGATCAGTGGATCAATAAAAAGTAGATGTATTTTTTTGTATATTGTATTTTAAAAAATACAATATATTGTATTTTAAAAATTGTATATTGTATTTTAAAAAATACAATATACAAATTATTAATTAGGTGTAATTACAAATATGATTCTAATTAATATTAATAATTATATCTCTTAATTACAAACTGATTAGAAACAAATTATTAAAATAATGCTACAAAATAATCTTATAACAATATTTAAGTTCAAAGAACAATACTAAATAAGTCAGACCTCAAATTTCAGACAAAGCATTCCTAAAAATATATATGAAAGTCAAATGTCTGTAAGGTGAACAATAGAGTTGCATATTATAAAAGGGTTTCCCAGAGGGCTGAAAAAGACTTTAAAAAATCTCTTACATACATTGAAAGTTTTACCTTTTACAGTGGATATGTTCAATGCATAAACATTATTTAAAATGTTAAAACCACAGAGTTAAACAGATTATAAAAATTAATTTTTACAAATGATTTTGATAGTACCAAACTAAAAGTGGCAGAAAGTATCACTGCACAATGGCTTGAAATTATTGTTTGTTGGCTTAAAAAGTCCAAATTTGTTATATGAAAAGCAATTTATGAGTATCAAAATATGTATGAAATAGCAAATTTCCCAAAAGCTGAATGCAAAAAAGATGAGGATTAACTACACTGGGATATGTAGAAACATCTTTTACCATTGGGATAGAATTAGGGTTAAATTTGATTGTAATGTATAGCATGTATTTTTCTAATGCAATAGATTAGTATCCAAATGTCAACAATTTAACTTTTATCAAAAATTTAAAATTACAATTTTTTCAAAATTTATTTTGTTTCTAAATAAAACTAATGTTTTTGAACTTATGATTCTATTTTGGAATTAATAAACAAATATGCATGTATTATAAACTTTTTCATTAATTCTTTCATATCTTTATATAAATTTCAAATATAGTTGTAATACATAATTGTATGAGAATCTTATCTAAAAAATTAATTCAAATTGCATAAGAATTTTTAGTATTCTCATATCTAAGTTAATGGCAGCTTCATAGTCCAAATGTTCTATCCAACTTGCATCCATTGACAATAAGTCATTCTGTTATGGCATTCATCATATCAATAGTCTCATTTCATTGCTGTCTTGCCACTGAACCTTGCAATGGTCTAACAGAAGTTCAGTTCATGATCAAACTCAATATTCTGTTATTGAGCATGAACAAATAGAATTGTGTAATGTCATGTGTTTTGCACTACTAAATGCAAATGCTGGATTGCATCATCTTTTAAAAATATAAAACAGAGAACATTTGAACCTTGAGTGATATTAACAAATGCTGTAAAAATCATCAATTTTATAACAAGAATTAAAAGCGCATTAAAAAAATTAAAAGGTATTACTTGAAAAAAAATTGTAAACGATTTGCTTCTTGGATTAACAGATAAGAATTAAATATATAAATACAGTTTGACTGAAATAATTTCACTATATTGTGCTTGATAACAGATGATAATAAACACACTTAAATAACCTTGAATAAACAGCAAAAATTTAATAACTAAAACGTGTTTTAACGTTTTTAACAACCTTCTTTCACTAGAATATGTAATGGAATGCCACAATGGAATGATGAACTTAATAACAGATATTGTTTAACAGCTTTATTTAACAAAGGATAAATAGCAGCCAACTTCAAACAGATCTAAATCATGGAATAAGAAGTATGTTTATTTTGTAATGTGTAAACAAGTTTCCAATTGGATTCCAAAAGATTAGTAACTGCTAAATACACTACAAGCTGTTGAACTGTAACAGAACATTGCTCAACAATCTTCAACATATCTCATTGAAATGGAATATCTTGTGAATTGGGCTTTAGACACAGCCAACCTAAGCTTTGCCTAAGGCCTCATTCTTTTAGGTGCTTATACAACTATGAGCCATTTACAAATGGCTCATATTTGTATTCATTCCAAATGGATTAACTCTCTTAGTTTTAAAATAGTATATTACTTTGAATAAATGTGATTATTTTATGTCATTAGATAAAAGCTTGCCTGTAATAATACATTCTACAATGTTTATTTAAATTTAAATTTTAAAAGAAATTTTAAAAATGAATTTATATTATTTTATCAATTTCTCAACTTTTTGTTTTGTGTAGTTAATCAATTTGGCAAATGAATGACTCATATATACTTGTCAACATTTGGTCTTGGTCCATTATTCAGAATACAGTACTAGCTAAAATTCTAGCATTCATCAATATCAACCACTGTGTGATATTTACTTTATAGTATATACCAGACATGGATAAATTGTGGCTCTTTTTGAGTTACATGCGGCTCTTGCTGAAAGTGTTAATTTCTGTTTTTTATTATTATTTTTACAATTTTATTTCCACAATTTTATGAAAATATGTTTATTAAAAAAAATCAATATTTGTTTTATATTATATTTATATTATATAATAAAATCACAGTACAGAACTGCAGTACAGAATAAAAAAGTACAGAACTGCAGCTCCCATGCATTTTGCAAAACCTACNAACTGCAGCTGCAATTTGCAAAACCTACATTTTGCAAAACCTACATTTCGGCTCCCACTGAACTTTTGCTTGCCCACCCCTGGTCTATACACTTGTATAAAAAGAATCTTCCAAGTTCATCCTTGCTTAGCATCATGTACTGTACAACTGAAAACCACCACTGCTTATATCCATGTAATTATAAGAATTAAGATCTAAATTTTAAGAAATTAATTCTAAGTTTTACAAATTACTATTTTAAAATAATCTAAAATTAAATTTAACAAAAAAAGCAACATTATGTTATTTTGTTTTGAAGCATTTTTCTATAATAAATTTTGATTTTGTGTTCATGTATTTTCAGTTATTTTATTTTTTATAATTTCAACAATTTACATAATTCTAATTCATTCAATTGCTGTAATTTCTTAATCTGTGGGAGTCAAACTTTTGTTTTCTTATAAATATGCTATGGGTAAGATGTTATAAGTTTACAATTTGAACTATGTTCCAATTAATACATTTATATTTTTATAGGCTGTTTCTAAAATTTGCTTGAATTCATTAGTAAAGACTAAGACAAAACCTTTATCACTTTGTTTCTAGTGTACCTGAAGAAGGCCTTTTAAAAAGGCCGAAAACGTTTGTACTCAGTGTTTAAACAGCTAAAAATAAAATGAGAAAGGTTTTGTCTTAGTCTTTTTAAATAGTTATAGCTCCAAATGCATAGAAGTGAATTCATTAGTTTTACTTTTAATATATAAAAGTAATAACATATATTTATAGTTGTGCAATTTATATTTAAATCATAAAATATATGTTTTTATTATTTGTGTTTATTATAAATTAATCCAAAAATATTGTTCAATTAAAAGCTTTGTAATATAAACAATAAAATGTTTGTAACTCATCAAAAATAGATAATGTGTCTTTTAAGGAAATATTTAAACATCAGTAACAGAAAATGAAATAAAGGATAATATTTATTAAAAATAAATCGAAATTGTTAATAATATTTATAGTTTTATAATTGAAATTGATAAAATGTTTAAAACTAAAACACTAATAAGCAGTTATAATTTGTGGACCTGTTTCAAAATAATAAATTTTAAAACTATTTATGACAGCTACAATCACGGTTGAACAATCATGATTATGTCATAAATTCTACAAGGAAAGACAAGGAAACATGTTTTTAACTAGAAAATTGTTTCTATTATTATATATTCTTAATGTATTGAAGTCATTTGTCTTATACTTTGGTTCTTGATTAATCTGTTAAATAAGTATTGAAAAATATGTTTTATTATTGCTACTTATAAATTGACAATATTTTGCTGTAAGGATTTTGTATTTGTATAGCTGATTGTATCCATTGAATACATAAAATATATCAAAGACAAAACAGTATTATATTGTTCAGATTGTAATTTTTTCTTTAAAATGTTATCCACGTTTTACGAATTTATTCGGATTAAGAATCAGTTAAATCTATTGAAATAATTGCTAAAAAAAAAATCAGTAAAAACAATTCACAATATTTCTGAAATAAGCAAAATCTTACCAGACATTTGACATTTAAATTTCCTGAAATTTTTATATAATTCGGATTAATGTGTAAATCATTCACAACCTCTTGTTTAAGTTCCATGTTTTGTTTACGATCAAACACACATTGACACACCTCCTCTGTCCCAAAGAATACAAATTACACATTGGTTCACGGCATCACTTTTACCACACCAGAGGGCGACGCGAGAAAATACGTTAACAGGCAATTCGCTATGTATTGATGACCACGAGGCATCTGTTGATAAATATCGCCATATCCAGGTGCAGTGGTTTCGAAGCGCGTGCCCTCTGTCGTTTTACGAACAAATGCTTTCGTATAGCTTTATACATTGTGGGCCTGTTCGTGAATCACTTAACAGTGTTTCGGGCCCATCTCCTATATACCTAATTACCAGTGGTGATATTCGAAATATTTAACAAAGGGTTCGCTAACAGAAAATTTTTCCTTAACAATTTTTTTTAGCTCAAATGGCGCATTAGCAACATTAGCGCAAAAACTGGCCTTAAGATACCCATATAAATAAAAAAGATGCGTTCGCAAAATTACATCAGTTTAAAATTTAACATTGTTTATGCCAGAACTATATTTTTTTTATAAATAATAAAAAAAGTGTTCAAAATGGTTTATTTTGTACATATTTTAATATTTTTCATTCAAAATATTTTATAAACATAAAAATTGGCTTTTTTTCACAAGAACAAACTTTTCTAAATC